TGTGTGATGTTTTCAATCCTTTTGTTTCACTTGAATCTACAACCAATACCCATAGAAGAAGCACTCAAAAAATCAAGTGATGTGTTGCATTGAAAAAATCTGCCTTCGAGGGCCTCTCCAAATGTAGAAGCCCGGATCCCCAGGATTGTTTGGTGGTGGTGGTTATTACGTGCCATCGAGTTATAGAGACCCTATGTACAAGAGCTCTATCTACAGAACCCTGCTCTACGCTGTGCCAATCTTATTGTCTCTGACACACCTACCCCATTACTCCAGTCACTGACTCAATCTCATCCAGGGTCTTCCTCTCTTGCGCTGTCCCTCCACCCTCCCAAGTATGATGTCCCTCTCCAAGGACTGATCCCTCCTTGCAACATGCTCAAAGTATGACAGATGGAGCCTCAGAATCCTTGCCTCCAAGGAGCAGCCCTGCTTCACCCTCTCCAGGACAAACCTGTTTGTGCTCTATATTCAATACTCTTTTCCACGGCTCAAAGGCATCAATCCTCCTTCTCTCATCCCTGAGTATTTTAAATTATAACAGTTCCTGGGAGCTCTGGTCACATAACCCTTAGAATGTCAATCTTCATGGTTCTGTTTCCTTTTTGACAACTTCTATTTTTCCTGTCTTTGTACTTTGTACATTCCACATTCCAGTTATCAAAAGACGTTTGCTACTGTTTCTCCTCATTTTTATTGACTTCCAATCTAAGTTCTACTACTAATAATGTAGCTACCTATGTTCTCCTGTTGTTCATAGGGTTTCCAGAGGCCTGTTATTTCAGAAGTGGGTGGCCAGTCCACTTATTCCTTAGTTGTATAACTGCCTAGGGGTTGTTATACTACCAGACTAAGTTAGTAGGTTATATTACTAACTTAATAGGTTATAACTCCCTAGTGTTTATGCTACAAGACTGACTTAGTAGGTTATACTACTAAGGTGGAGCCTCTCTGAAAGTTTGAACACCATCAGCAACTCAGCAGGAGAAAGACAGTCAGCTTCTCAGAGATTTACAGATTTCTGAAAACCCACTGGATTGGTTCCGACTCAATGGCAATTAGTTTGAACAGTAACAGATTTTAAACACTAAACACTTTATACAAGAAAATGGGCTTCTCCTTAGCAGTTTTTTTCTTGTTTTGTGATTGTTTATCTTTTAGAATGAGAAAGAGCTTTCTGATCACTCAGCGCCTAAAGGGAAATGGATGGGGTGCCCTCTTGAGGGCTCTGTACTCCCAGGCTTCCAAGAAGTCTGACGCAAAGGCCTCACAAGCTGTGCAGGGCTGGACCTTCTGGGTCACACTTCTGAGTATCGCCTCCCTGCGCCGCGAGTAGGCTCTGAGGATGAGCAGCTTTGGTTGGAATGAAGGCTATTTGTTTACATGAAATAATGTTGTTCCTCGGTTGAGGAATATTCTCACACTCAGATCTACTTCTCAGATCCATTCTGCTCACTCAGATCACCTGTAACCTACAGAGGCTCAAGGACTTGGGTTCTGTGAGGTGAATGAACCCCTGCCTCATGGAGCCTACCAGGCCACACCTAGCTGTCTCCCTGCTTGTTGCCTCTACCATTCCTCCACTCTTGTGAGACATCAGTAACTAACTTACGCTAAATTTAAATGCCAAAATTTCTCTCCTATGCAGACTCCCTCACAATGATGGTGAGCAACACTATCAGAGCGTCCACTTTGGGCCCAAACCTCCATCATACTGCACACATCACTATACCAGTTCCCTGCATTTGTTGGTGCTGGGTTTTGCCTTTCTTTCTTACCTGGCCTCAAAGGCAGATGCCCCAGTTAATCTGTGCCAAGCACCAACCTGCAGTTTATGTTTTCTGATTGAATCTTGTGAGGGGAATATTTGTTTTACAACTAAGGAAACAGGGGCTCATAGAAGCTAAATAAGTCAGCTAGTGAGGCGCAGAACTGAAACGAGACGATTCAGGAAGTTATGGCAACAGCTCTTGAACACCCACGCCATAGCATTGCATAGCCTAGCAGTGAATACAAAGTGGAAGCTTTCCCTTCCCCATCCAACTCCAACAAGCCCTAGTGGTCCAACAGTTAAGCATTTAATTGCTGACCAGAAGGTTGATAGTTCAAATTCACTTAGTGACTCTACAAGATAAAACACTTAACATGCTTCTGAAAAGATTACAGTGCAGGAAGCCCTACAAGACGGTTCTACTGTTCACGTGACATCACTAATAGCATCTAATGACCACCCTACCAGAAGATGTCATTCCAGACTTTGTTTAACCCACATCCTTGATACAAAGATAAATCTGAAAGGCTAGATCTCTGTCCCTATTCTGTTCCCTATGGTCTCCATGTTGTTGTTATGTGCCATTGAGTTGTAGGCGACTCATAGTGACCCTATGAATGAAAGATCTGAACACTTGTGTAACTTTCATCATTTCTCCACATTCACAGAATTTCTGGAGGCAAGCTATTTCGGAAGTGGATGCCACTTCTTCTCCCAAGCTTATCTTAATCCGGGAGCTCCACCAAACACTGTCCATCATGGATAACCATTATTGCATTTGACACATCAGCGTCACAGTGTTTAGCATCACAGCAACCATGAGTTATCTCCATAACTATTCAATTTATATGTTGAGAAAACAACCTGAGAAGCTGGACTATATGAAGAAGACTGTTGCATCAGAACTGGAGGAAGACTCATCAACAGCCTATATTACGTAGATGACACCACCTTGCTTGCAGAAACTGAAGAAGTCTTCTTCAAGTGAAGCACTTACTGCAGAAGAGCAGACTGTACAGCGTTCAATATGGATTACATGTCAACATCAAGAAAACCAAACTCCTCACAACTGGACCAGTAGACAACATCATGATAAAGAAAAGATTGCAGTTGTCAAGGATTTCATTTTACTTGGATCCAATATCAACACCCAAGGTAGCAGCAATCACAAAATCAAGAGATGTGTTGCATTGGGCAAATCTACTACCAAGGACCTTTCTAAAGAGCTAAAGAGTAAAGATGTGTGCCTTAAAGACGGAGGTGTGCCTGATACAAACTACGGTACTTTCCATTATTTCATACGCATCTAAAAGTTGGACATTGGCCAACCAAAGAAGAATCGATGCCTCTGAATTGTGGTGTTAGAGAAGCTCTTGTTGTTGTTATTGTTAGGTGCCATTGAGTAAAGCACAACTCATAGAGATCCCATGAAAAGATCTGAACTCTGTTCTATGCTACATCATCCTCACACTTCCTAACACACAAGGGCCCACTGCAGCAGTCACCATGTCAATCCACCTGGTTGAGAGTCTTCCTCACCTTCACCAACCCTCCACCCTGCCCAGCATCATGTCCCTCTAGAAGGAATAGCACCTCCTAGCAACATGTCCAAAGTATGTGAGGCAAAGCCTCATCATTCTTGCCTCCAAAGAGTACTCCGGCTGCACCCTCTCCAAGATATATCTGTTTGTTCACTTGGCCGTCCATGGAATGTTCTGTGTTCTTCACCAATACCACAGCTCAAAGGAGTCAATCCTTTTTCTGTAATCATTATTCACTGTCCAGGTCTTGGATGCATAGCTAGTAATTGAAAAGACTATGGCCTGAATCAGACACACCTTAGTCCTCAAACTGACATCACTACTCTTCAATAATTTGGAAAGGTCCCTAACTGCAGATTTTCCCGGTGCAATGTATCTCCTTATTTCCTGACTACTTGTAGCAAGGGTATTACTTGTGGATCCAAACAAGATGAAGCTGTTTACAGTTTCAATCTCCTTTCCATAGACTGCCAAAATAAAGCATTCTGTGTTGAAGGAAGTACAACCAGGATACTCCTTAGAGACAAAGATGAAACTTTGTCTCACATACTTCACACATGTTATCAGAAAGGATAAGTCCCTGGAAAAATACATCCTTTGGGGAAAGGTAGAAGATCAATGATAGGATGAACCTGAAGGAGATGGACTGACATGGTCACAGTGGGTGCAAGCATGGCAGGGATTGCAAGAACGGTGCAGGATAGGTAAGGTTTTGCCCTGTTTGTTCACAAGGCTGCTGTGAGTCATAGTTGACCTGATGATACCCAAGAACAATAGCCACTATTGGGAACCTCCAGTTTCTGTCAGCATTACTTGGTCCCAAAATAAGCTCAACCAAGAACTGGACTGGCCTGGGGCTGAGTCCTATTCATGCAGATACAGATTTGCCCCAGAATTCCCAGGAAACAGGGATAACAAGAAAGATTTTTTTTCCTCCCTTTAGCCAAAGAAGGCAAAGATTTGGGACAATTTTGTTTCTCTGTTTGGAACAACTTCAATTATGGTGTCAGCAAAAATTCTAGCATAGGACAGACCAATAGAAACTAAACTTGAATCTAAACTTCCAACAAAGTTGCCTGAGTTCTTCAGGCTAAGTCTACCTCGAGTGCAGTCTCAATCCTCCCTAAAGAATTCAGACCAACAGCCCCTCATCCTCTCTCCTCAGCTCCCCACCTGCTCACCAAGGCTCAGAGGACAGCCCTACTCTCTCTCAGACCCTTCTCCATGGAACCCACCCAGGTCCCTAGCCACAAAGGGACAACCACAAACTCAAAAGACTGAAAAAACTTTTTTTTTTCAATAAATACAAAAATCTCCAATAATGACTCTACTCAGCTCAGGGGCAGCAGGAGTGGAGTAGGGAGACCCTTGGTGCTGAGTGAGGATAAATTAAAAATCCAAACAAGCCAGTGATGTTATGTACAGAGGGAAAGGGCTTCCAGGGCAGAATGGGAAGGGGCGGACTAGAGGGTGTCAGGGAGGGAGTGGAAGTGGATATGGCCTTGGTCTGCCCCTCCCCCTTGTGGAGTTGTGGTTCCCAGAGGTAGTGGGGGAGGGAGAAGGGGCCAAAGAGAGGAGCCAAAGGCACTTGGTTTTCCAAAAAAAATAAAAAATACTGGAACCTCCTCACTGTCCCTTCCCCAGCCCAGGCCCCGTCCTCTTGGTCATCTGCTGTTTTTGGGCTGCCCCTAGGAGGCTTCGGCTTCTTTGTCCAGCTCTGGATCAGTCTTGGTGTCTGGGGCTGCTGGACAGGAGAAGAGAGCGGTGGTGTGGGGGCAAGCCGGAAGGCCAATCTCAGAAAGGTCAGACTTGTGGAAGCGAGTCAGTGCACACCAGCTGTGTGATCTTAGTCCAGTTGTTGCTTAATTGCTCTAAGCTTCAACAAGATTGTTTATTAAACAAAGGTAATAAATAACAGGCCCTCCAGGTGGCCGTGAGGATTGAAGGGGCTGGACAGCATTTGCTATTACGTGCGTTTGGGAACTGGCAGCGAGGGTCCTGGCACACAGTGGGTGCTCCCTGCCCTCCCAGTTGACCCTTACTCACGTCTTCGGGGTGTGCAGTGTGAGCAGCATCGACTCTCCTTCTCAGAGCTGCAGGCCAGCGAGGGCGAACAGTCATCTCGCTCACAGTAGGGCACCCCTGCCTGTGGGAGCACACAGCACAAACTGAGGGTCTCCCAGAGGCACGTGGGCATGGAAGTCTTCCTGGGAGCCTCCCTCTGGAAACCTGTTCTGCCCAAGAAGATCCTCTATGCCAGCCAAGTGCCCACCTCATACAAGTCCCCTGGTCCCAACTTACCCCACACCTGCAGGTTATACAGCTCATCTCCCCAAAGGGGTGCACTAGTGGGTGCCAGCTGTGGCTCTCTGGGAACCACTGCCCTGCAAAACGGCAGCCCCGGGGACTGTCTGCCTGCATGGGGTCCTCTTGCTGGGGCTGGGACCCTGATACCAGTGCTGGAAATGAAGGAAGGAGAGAAGGAGGAAGAAGTCAGCAGATGTGACCTCTGAGAGGGCTACCCACGTTTCATTCACATCTTTGAATCTCCAACATCTAGCTGTTTCCAGCATTCCATAGATAACAGATGTGGACAGATGCATGGATGAATGGAAGGGGCATAGACAGGTAAAAGGAAAGGTGGATGGACAGATGACAGATAATAGGTGGATAGGTGGGTGGATAGATGGATGGGGGGGTAAGTAAATGGATGAGTGGATGGATGGATGGATGAATGTATAGATGGATGGATGGATGGATGAGTGGATGGATGGATGGAGTGGGAAATGAAACCCATCACATCCCACTGATACACACAATATCGTCACCACATTAGAGTCCCCACTCTTGATTAGACCCAGAATAGTGCTCAATAATGCTGACATTCCCAGCCCTCTCCCCTACCCGCCGGCTTTATTATGCATCCCCTCACCCAAGACAAGGTGGTAAGGGCCTCACCTGCCCCAGGAGCATAGCACTCACATCTCTCACCTGGACACTGTTTACAGCAATCAGTGGGATTGGCACGGACAGGCTGGGCACAGGTCAGCCGGGGACACTGTACCTTCTCACAGTGCACCTCTCCGGTGCCCTCCTAGAAAGACTCATTGAGTAAGGTGTGTCACGAAGAAGCTAGATACATATGCCTTTTGCTTCATCCTTCTCCTTTTTTATATCTCAAGCACATCTCTCTAACCTTCTACTCAGAGATCCTGGGCTGCTGCTTTAGATCACTAAACCCAAATGCTCACTGTCACCCTTCAAGGTCTATGCTTGCATCTTTGCAGGAGTGGAAAGTGAGGCTCGGGGAGGTGCTGGAAAACGCCCACTGTCACCTAGGGCAGAGACTGAATTCTCCCCCAGGTCAGTCCTGGCCTTCTTCCTACCTAAAGCAGACTCTCAAAGCCTACAGGACCTTTCTGGGATTGTTTCCATCCCCACCGAGGACAAACTTTCTTCCCCTGGCAGCCCCCTCCCAGACCTGGCTGGAGGCTGAGATGGGCCCAAGCAGAGTTTCAGCATTGGAGAGGCCTGGGCACGGGCTTCACAGCCCTGGAGAGGCCTGGGCTCAGGCTTCACAGCACTGAGCAGCCGTACCTTGCAAGTGCAGATCGCACACTTAATTAAGCCAAAGGGAGGCACGACCGGGTGCCACCGGGTACCCGCTGCCCGCCAGCTCCGGTCCCCATCGAAATAGCAGCCTGCGGGTGAGGGGGAGAGTTACCAACTGCAGTTAGTGCTGAGCTCATCAGCTGAACCCCAGATGTTAGGCAAGTTCCACACTAACCTAACCCAGAAACCACTCAGAGGCCAAGAACACTGCTGAGGCCTGTCAAGTGTCAAGTGGTATCTGTGCTCCTCTGCTCTCATCCGTGCACACATAAACAGTCTCAGCCTCCTCTCCCCCTGCAGCCCCACCCACCAGTTGTTCTGGACCCCCCCACCTCTGCACACACTTCCAGCTCACCTTCTACTGGGTCCCGGCTTTTAGGCAGCCCTGGCCGGTCTCTGATGTCTTGTTTCTCTGTGGAGCCAAAGGCATGTCTAAGGCAGAGGGTGACCCTCCTTCCCTCCTTCCTTCTCTAACTATCCTCTGTCTGGCTGCCCCCCATACGCCCCTCTCGTCCTCTGCCAGGCACTCACCCGGGCAAACTGGGCAGCATTGGTCTGGCACCTGCACTGGCTGTGGGCAGCTGGGCGAGGGACACACCACGGGGTCACAAATCACTGTACGTCTCTGCAGAGAAAGACCAACCCAGGTCTCTTGCCTTGGATTCCAGGTTCCAGTGCACCCCTCTCCTCTCCACCCGCCCCCTAGCCTTCAACCTGGCAGGTGCAGAGAGAGCAGAGAGGATCGTAGTTAGGCGCCCAACTAGCCCCATGGGGGCGCTGCTGCCCCTCAAAGAAGCACGAGTTGGAATCCCGGAGCTTTACAGGGACACCAGGTTTGGCGGGCACTGAGGCCTCCAGGACGCGAGCAGCAGGCAGTACTGGCAGGACCTTGGGCGCCTCTGAAGGATCCGGATCCGGGGCTCCCTGCGCCCTCTCAGTCTCCGCCGCAGCCAGTCGCAGGCCGCCCACTTCGCAGCCATTGGCGATCTGCACCTGGAAGGCGAGGCACGTTGGGGCAGCCCCACAGCTCCCGGCTCCCCATCCCGGTTATGGCTCTCCCTTACTAACCAGTCAGCAAGACTCCGCCCTTCCCACACCCTTGGGGGATCAGGCACCCCAGAAGGATGCCATTTTGGTGGTGGTGTGTGCCATCGAGCCAGAACTGATTCATTGCTGACTCTCCAGCAAGTTTTCAGAAGCAGTAAATTGCCCATCTTTCTCCCTTGAAGCAGCTGGTGGATTTGAACTGCGTTCATTTTAGGACTGCAGTGCAGCTTCTTATCACTAGGACACCAGAACTCCCTAGAAGGATGCCATAGGCCACAGCAATCATCTAGCTGTATCCAGTGACAGGATGGTCCCATTACGCCTCTTTGTATATCTTTTCTGATTTCATCCTCCCAAACAGCTAGAGTTTGCTAGTACCCCCCACCCCAGGCTCCCAGGAAGCCCATGAATGGCCCATGTGGACACAGCAGTAGTCCAGTTCTGCACGTCCCCACCACCTGCACTGCCCATCTACCTTCCCTCGAAGCTCCCCTCCAGGATTGCCCTTGGTGGTGATCAGTAGGGAGGCTGTGCCCTGGGCCACATGCTGCAGCAGCTCCGGTTCCAGGTCCTTGACTACACCCTGAGCCTGCAGCCAATGAGTTAGACAAAGAACAGGAACTAGGCATGAGGGGCTGAGCCCACTGCCCGCAGTCACAGACGAAGAAAGATCCAAGGAGATCCAGGGAGGTTGAATAAGGTCTCTGACTAAGATAGCTCCATCCAGCAGCAAAGGTACAGCACCCAGAAGGCAGGTCTCTCTGACCCCAATCCATTGCAACCCTCTCACTCCCCTCAAGGGAAGTCGAGGTTATGACACACCAAGAGAATCCATCCAGGACTCAGAAGGAGGATATGTAACAAATGCCATCTCTCTGCAAGTGCTTTATTCCAATTACCTCCAAGAGTCTGTCACTTGCACAAGTGGCTGAGTCAAATTCACACCCAGGTCTGTCTAACCCAGGTCTGTCTGACCCCGTTACCTGGCTGGCTCGCACTGACATGGGCTCAGGCAGCCCTTTCTGCTAAAGAGTCGTGTGCTCACCTCTGGACCGTAGAATCCCTTCAGCAGCCGCCGGGCACCTGGCGTCCCAGGAGGCCCAAGGAGATGGGCAGTGACTGTGCCTTGTTCAGAGCCACCAAGCCCCACTAGCAGCACTTCATAATGCAGGTGACAGTGGGTGTCCAGGGTGAGCCAGGCATGCCCTGCTGCCTGACTCCGCACAGGGGGCAGCACAAGGGCTCCTGCCAGGGGCACAGGCAGCACTGGGTCCGGAGAGAGGAGAGGTCACAAATGAGAAAGTGGCTGAAGACAGCCCATCAATCTCAGCATCCCCTGTATTCCCCAAGCCAGACTCGATGATTGGAAACACTGTCCATAGACCCAGAGACTCTGAGCAGCTGCTCTCAGATCACAGTACAGGCTGAGTCTGCCAACAAGACCACTGTGCACAACCATACCTTCTCCAGTTGGCAGCCTGAAGGCTCAGCACACACAAAAACATGCCAGGCCCTCTAGCACCGTCCCTTGCCTGCTTCAGGCACCAGTTAGGAGACACGACAGAGCAGGCAGACCCCGAGGGTTCTCACCATCATGGAGGGCCCGGCGCCCACTGTAAGGCAGGGCAGCCACGTGCCCGCGAAGCTCTCCATCTGGGTAGTCCTTGGTGCCCACATTCAGGAAGAGCTCATTCTGCAGCAGCATATGAGTCCCTCGGGCCCCCAGCCCAGGACAAACACCCACAGCCTGGGGAGCAAGGGAGAGTGAGCTCCAGAGGCAGCCTCCCAGACCCCAGATGAACCCTTCCTTGGCCTTCATACAAGTTCAAGGTTCTGAAGCCTTTGGATGTGCTGTGTCCCCACTATAACTGTGTGCACACCCTTCCACACAACACACTGGACAAGAAACTTCCAGGCAATCCCAAGTCCCTTCTCTGCCTCTTCCTATCTATGCGCTCTTGAGCAGTTCCTTAGCCTTTCTCATCTATAAAATGGGTATTGTGAGGGCCAGAAATAATACAAGTAAGGCAACCTGTGCAGTATCTGACACACAGAGAAGTTCAATACATAACAGTCACTAGTATCACGTTTATTATCATCTGGTCTTTTTATTGGACTATGTATGAGCTTGCTGGGGACAGGATTCATATCTGAGTATTTTTGGATTTCAGTCCCCAAGCTCAAATTACTAAAAACCGGCCAAATAAAACAACCAAAGGACCTAGACATGATGCTGAATGTCTCTACTCACCCCAGCTAGCCTCCCCCAACCCACGCCCTGACTGTCCTGACCCTGGTCCTGCGCTGCAGCCCCATTCTGCCTGGAGTCCTCACCATGTGTCCTGTAGGCTGGAATCCAGTCATCTGGCACAGTACAGTATGCTGGTTCCTCCGCTGAGGCTTGGTCTCTAGTGTCATGGTCACCACCTCACTGCTTACACCTATCACTTGGACCTGGTCAGCAGCGTTGGGGGCGGGTGACTTAGAGTGGCAAAGAAGGCCCAGTGCTGAACCATTACACCTATCACTTGGACCTGGTCAGCAGCGTTGGGGGCGGGTGACTTAGAGTGGCAAAGAAGGCCCAGTGCTGAACCACGTGGGCCAACTACCTGCCCTACCACCTTCCCTGTATTCCATAGCCACCAACTCTCACCTGGTAGACCAGGGATCCATTTCCAAGCAGTGTGAGGCTGGCTGAGCCAGCGGCTCCCGTCTGGACTGGAATCAGGGCATCGGCCCCACAAAGAACACTCTGTAGGACTGCAGTGGGAAGAAACAGGCAGCAGGCTCGCCCACAGTCACTCTAGCTCCTCTTCCACACCTCCCCAAGGTTCCCCACCCCCGGCCTTGTTTGTGGCCCTCAGTTGTGTGTGCCCATGATCAGAGTGCCAGGCCCTACCCTGCCTCACCGTCACAGCTCTGCCTGGGGGCAATGTGTCCACTGATGCGCAGCTCTGGCCCGCCTACCCTCTCCAGAGTCACCTGCAGCTCCCCCAGGACCAGCCAGTTCATCTCCTGGGCTGTCAGATTGGGCAGCACCTCGGCAAAGCCTGGCTCCTGGAGACAGAGCAGGGAGTGGTGGCAGCAGCGAGAGACCTGAGTGGGTGGTAGCACGAGCCAGACCCTCACTCACCTGGGCTGAGACATTGGCCTGGAGCTCTCGCAGGAGTTGCCCCTGGTGTTGAATCTGGAGCCTCAAGGGAGCCTGGGCTGGTCCTGCAACAGCCCCACGTGTGGACACATCTGAGAAGCTGGTGCTCCGTCAGCCCCCTCGCGTGCTTCCCCTCCATCCTACTTACCTCCACTCGTGGGTTCCAGCAGCCCCCGGAAGAGCAACAAAAAGTGCAAAGAGTCCTCTGTGTCACTGAGCGTGAGTAGAGCAATGCCCCCTACACCCTGCTGTGGGCTGTCTTCCAGAGTCAGGATGGCACTGAAAGTCTCTGTGGACGGGATGGCAAGTTGTAAGAGACACTTCAAAAGGTCCCTCCTCAGCTCACCCCATTCTTGGACACAGAAATGCCTCTGAACTTCTCCTCAGGGCAGCTGGCTCCCCTCACCTGCAGACAGGGCCCTGTGCCGGATGAAAGGCCCTGAGACCTCCCCTGAAGGGTGAGTGGATGTCACCAGCGTCACGTGCAGTTGCTCTGCCCTAAGGAGCCGCAGGGACAACCGAGGCACTCCCCGCCACACCCCACAGACCTGGAGCACAAAGACAAGAAGGCCTTCTCAGTGCACAGGACAGCCCGGCCCTGGTGAGGAGAACACTCCTAGCAGGCTTAAGAAGGGAACGCTGAGCCAAATGCTTGGTGTCAAATCCTGGCTCCACCACTAACTACCTGCTGTATGACCTTAAGCAAATCATATTCTGCCACTGAACCTGTTTCCCTCGTCTGTGAAGTGGGCATGATAATGTTAGTCCCCTTCCTTCCACTGGGCTGTTTGGAGGACCAAAGGAGGCAATGCATGGTCAGCTGCTGGCACAGTACTCAGACAGGGTAAGTGCTTGCAAGTGGCATCATCTCACCAGGCCATCCTGTGTAGGGGTTGCAGGGTGCTCAAACAAGGTGCTGCCAGTTGAATCCAAAAAGCGAACCCTGGTGGGGCGGTCCAGGCTAGGAAGGAGAGAATCAGATGAGCCCTAGTCTCCTAGCCTGGGCCAGAAGCAGTCCCTCCCAGCCCTCCATTCTCCTCCTCAGAGAGGAGCCCTCCTCACCCCTTTCTCACCTCTGGTAGGAGATGGAGAAGCGTAAACTAGAGCGCAACAGTGATACTCTGGCCCGAGCCACCGCCTGCGACCTCGGCCCAGTCAGCAGTGCCACGAAGTCTGGGAGGGCAAAGAGGGAAACGCCAAATACCGTTACCGCCATGGAAGTCCTGCCCAGATGGCCCGTTCCCTCGAGGCTAGCCTACCCGTGTGGCCATCGCCGCGTGCCTGCTCCTCAGCGCTGGGCTCCCCTCGGTCGCTGTAGCTGCTGTGCTCCGGGTCCCGCGGATACTCGAAGGCCAGGCCCGACGGCTGCGTCTCAGGGCCGCCATGCTCTGCTGGAGGACGCGGGCTCAGCTCACCGCGCAGAGGGCTCCGAGCCCCCCTGCCGCCCTTCCCCCGCGTGGAGCGGGCTTTACCCGGAGGGCAGGTCTGGCAGCAGTCTCCGGGCAGCTGGTGCGGCTGCTTGCAGCTCAGGGCTGGGCACTCAGGCTTGATGTTCTTGCAGCTGACCCTCCCCAAGCTCCGTGCGCGGCGACCCCACTGAGACTACCCAAGAAAAGACAGAAAGCAGAGTGAGTGCAGGGCACAGGTGGGCAAGCCCCGGAGACCCCAGGGAGGGAGATGGGGTTGGGCCTCGGAGTCGGACCACTCCCTCTGGGCCTTGGGGTCCCTACGTGTATAATGAGGATAACGATGTCTAGATGTCTCGCAGAGTTACAGTGAGAATTGGGAGACACATAACGGGGTTGGCACAGAGGATGCCACAGACAGGCGATCAATGAAAGTCAACACCTGAGACTTAAAGGGGGCGAGCCCTCTATTCTGGAAAAAACAGGCCAGCAAGTCCCCTCTTGGGCACAAGTCGACCACCCCGGACCCCTGCGCTGTCCCGCACCCTAGGGACCTGGCCTTGGCCGAAGGGTCAACTCACCGCCTGGCAGGCGCACAGCATGCAGCGCATCACCCCGAAGGGCTCCCCCAGGTCCGGGTGCCACGTCTCGTCCAAGGCATAGACCTTCCCGCCGAAGGGGCAGCCTACAGGAACGCGCTGGGCTGGCGGCCCTCGTCCCACTCGTGCTATGTGCCCGCCCGGGGCGCTGCCCGCTGGGCCCGGGTCCCGGGGCGCGCTGCCCGCTGGCGGCCCCCGCCCGCCCCTCCAGACCGCTGGCCGCGCCGAGCCACCTGCGCCCCGCTCCCCCCACCCCCCGGGCGGGCACGCACTTCGCCAGCACGACCCCGCCCGCGCCTCCCCAGGGGCGCCCACCTACCTGCCGCTCCCCGGACGGGCAGCGGCTCCTTCTCCGGGCGGATGGGCAGCGCGGGGGCCTCGGGGCCGGCGCCACGGGCCGGCCGGGAGCCGAGCAGCAGCAGCCCAAGAAGCAGCAGCGGGGCCGGCGGGGCCGGGAGGCTCGGCATGACGCGAACGGGACAGCTGGGGAGGCGGGAGGGAGGAGGGAGCC